GGGGCCGGGCCAGACGAGGACGAGGGGCCCAGCCCCGCTGCCCACCCCTACCCCTACACCTGCCGGGTGATCTTCGGGTACCAGGTATGGCCACGGCTGCCTGCCCCTCAGCCTGCCTGCCCAGGGCTGGCATCCCCAGCCCCCATGCCACTTTGTCCCCTGTCCCCTGCAGGGCTGCCAGACAGATGAGCTGTCCATCACCCAGGGCGAGGAGCTGGAGGTCATCGAGGATGGTGACGCAGAAGAGTGGGTGAAGGTGGGAGACGGGGGGCTGAGCACCCCCAAGCTGGGGGATACAGATTTCAGAAGTCCTCCAGGGCTGTTCCTGTCCCAGGGGCTGGGATGATCACACAGTTTCTGCCTCTCCAGGCTCGGAACAAGGTGGGCCAGGTCGGCTATGTCCCCGAAAAGTACCTGCTGTCCCTGGGCGGTGAGCCGGGGGCTGGGGCTGGCCCCCCGGAACCCTCTGCCCTTCACCGCCAGCTCTCCAGCATCATGGCTGCTGAGCTGGTGCTGGAGCCCGGAGGTGAGTGCTGGGGTGTCACCTTCCCTGGAGAGGGGGACGGGTGCGTCGGAACAAGGTGGGCCAGGTCGGCTATGTCCCCGAAAAGTACCTGCTGTCCCTGGGCGGTGAGCCGGGGGCTGGGGCTGGCCCCCCGGAACCCTCTGCCCTTCACCGCCAGCTCTCCAGCATCATGGCTGCTGAGCTGGTGCTGGAGCCCGGAGGTGAGTGCTGGGGTGTCACCTTCCCTGGAGAGGGGGACGGGTGCGTGGGGCTGGTGCCCAGGGGTTGCTGAGCCCCTGCAGGAGCAGCAGCGCCGGCGGGGGCTCTGGGAGCTCACCGGGGGCTGGAGGGCAGCTGGGCAGGTAGGAGGCAGGAGGGTCACTGCGTCCCCTTGGCATGGGGCAGCCCCCCATCTTGTGCCATGGCTGCTGGGGGGGGGCACCCTCCCTGCTGCTCCCACGCTTCTTGGCTCTGTCTTTGCAGGAGCTGCCATCCCCGTCCCCACCACCCTTCTCTCCTCCTGGCCTTGCACCTGGGGCCAGCCTGGCCCCTACCCCCTCTCCGGAAATGCTGCTGGGAGGTGAGTGCTGGGGGGACTGGGAAAGGGGCTGGGAGGGTGTGTGGAGAACTGGGCTGAGCTGCTGGGCCCTTGCAGGTTGCAGGCAGGATGGCACAGGCAGCAGGCAGAGCTCTCCAGACCTGGCAGCCACCCGCCTCCGGCCAGTAAGCCCCATCACAGCGATGCTGTGCCCCCCAAAACCTGCCCCCAGCCCTCCTGTAGCAGGGGACACTGCCACCCGTGTGTTTTCAGGGGGTCTGGAGGGGGGCGAGCGACCACGGTGTGTCAGCACCACTTCTCCTCTCGTCTCTCCGCAGCTCCGCGCACCCC